CCAAGCCAGTAGAAATGAGACAGAGAAAAGAAAAATAGAAAAATGAAAAATAAATAAATAAATAAAAACAGGCTGAACAAGCATTTTCATATAGGATTAAAAGCACACAATACATTTGCAGACGTGCAGATATATAGAAAAGCCAGGCAATGCATGGGCCTAATGTGAAGCAACCAGCGTGCATTAGAGACACATATACTGCACGCGCAAAGCCATTCCTACAGGTTATCCAAGATCACACAGGACTGGAAGAAACACAGCAAAACCTTAAATTCACCAGCATCTGTGCTTATTTCACGTCTACACCTGTTACATGATTTTAGACCCCAGACTCGTGCTTGTATAACCGCTGCCAGTGAAAGGACTGCACAGTGCCATTAGGAGCAATTTATTAGGGCAGGCTTTTAACAGCAACTTCAGACGCAATTTCTATTATTCCATGTAGGCACTTTAATTTAGAAATGAGTAAAAACATAATAATAATAATAATAATAATAATAAATCCTTTCTCTCTCTCTCTCTGGTGGTGCTCCTCCGGACTTGTCTTCCAGGCTAATCGCCTGCAGTGTGATGTTAGTAGAGGACATCATTTTCTGACAGCAGCACTGGTCTGCCACGCAGATGCCGGGAGGGGTGGAGGGTGGGGGTGAGGGGACCGTATGGTGAATGAAATGCAGCGGTGATTTGTGGCGAAGGAAGCTCTCTCTCTCTCTCGCAAATGGCAGCGGAATTTTTCTCTTTCTTTCTCCACCCCCCTCCACCACCTGCACTCTCTCTCTCTTTCTCTCCCTCCCTCGATGAAAATGATTAATGGCATTGCCCACGAAGTAAATAGCACACGTGAAATAGCATTTTATCTGTAATGGACCTACTTGAGCCCGGTGGCCGTAAATTTGTCGAGTTGGGATCCGGATCGCCGCCAGAAGAGGAGGGTGCAGACGCCGCCATCACTCCCGAGACCCTGTGCCAAAGTCCTCACCTCAAAAAGCCTGGTCACTTTTTTTTTCTCCTTTATTCCCCTCCCAAAGCTGTCTCTGGGCTATCCAATGACAGGGGAACAGAAACAATACCGCGTGTATGACTTAAAAAACAAAAATGTGCCTCTTCCTCTTTAACACTGAAAGAGATGCTCAACTTGGAGACTCTGGACGACAAGGGCACAGTCTCTCTAACAAGTTGATTTGGGGTTTCAAATTCTCAGCCCAAGCTACAAAAATAAATGTATAACTAAAACATTACCACTTTACGTTTACGCACAACTAACAGTTAACTATTTAATTAAACCCTTTCTGACAGAATCACATCATTTCAGTAACATCGCTCACTGCTCAGGAGATCTGAATGATGGTTATTTTTTTACCACAACAGAGCTTATTAATAACCCTAATTATTCTGGCTAAGCTATTAAAAATGTAAAACATTTAACCATATTGTTTCTGGATGTTAGGCCGAAAGTAAAAAAAAATGCAAATAATATAATAATAATATTAATACTATTATTTATTTATTTATACTTTCTCCAATTAATATCATGGCCTTATTGGTAATCAGTCATTAGCTTGAGCCACACTAATATCAGTGACAAATATTAGTTCAAGGTGATCATTCCTCTCACCGGCCCAGGTTAAAGTCAACCCACGGAAATAGACGACGTGCATCTTCATTCCCTCCCCCCATGCGGTTATTAAATATTCAAATATTATTTTTATATTCGAAACCTTTTCAAAAATAACAAATACAAATACGTGCAATTTGCGTGCAAACTGGGCCAACGTGTAATTTAAACCTAGAAGTGTCAAAGGAACCTTTCCCGCTTTATAAAAACACCTGTTAGAGCATCGATGGCAATAAAGGAGACTTTTGTTGCGTGCTGGCTTCCTACAGTAAACCCTGAAAATGAAGAATGAAGCTACTTACCGCGCCTATGTGTGTCCAGGTGAACAGGTACAGTCCAAAAAACAAAAAAGAAAAAGAAAAATTTTTTGTGACTAAACTGAATCCTGGACGAGAGCCTGCCGCGCTCTTCCACTCAAACAAGACGAAGAAGAAACAATAGACCCGAGTCCCGGCTCTCCGTTAGATCCGACACAAGGTGACCTTGCTTGTGTTGATGAGACTTTGATTTGCTGACATTTAAAGCGAGCTTTGTCTTTCTTTTGTCACTGCGCACGGATGACTCACGGTGCTACCTCCAGCGGTGCAGCATATCTGTGAGGCAGCAGAGCAGTCTGCAGGTGTGACACTGAATGGCGCCGCTTTCGGCCCCCTAAAGAGCCACTTTTTGGGGGTGTGTGGGGGGGGGGTTGCTTGTCTCCGGATCTATACAGCTCTGGTCTGAATCCTAGTCACGAACATGGAGTTGAAGTTTGATTCTGTGAGCATGAGGAGGGATCAGGATCTTTAATAAAGGGGGGAGGAGGGGGAGCGCTGCTTTTTTTTTTTTTGCTCTTGTGGAAAAAAACAAGAGGGCATCACACAAAGCGACACAATCACGAGCCTGAAACACTCATTTTGTTGCTCTTGTTTATTTATTTATTTATTAGAACCCCACGAACACGACGAGGGATTCTTCTATTTCAGCACATCGAACGGGGAATCAATAAGAAGCCACGCCGAGCAGTCCCAACGCCACGTGTGATTAAATGCAGAACATAGAGCTGTCACAAACATCTTATTTCCACACTTTCTGTGCAGACAGATCGGTGCTGAGCGGTGAAGATGTAACCTACGACACCAGCGGCGCGCTGACACGGGCGAAAAATCCACAAGGTGGCAGTGAGAAACCAAGAATGGGTACTCCAGGAGCCCAGCACAAGTGGTCTATTTCCAGAAATACTCCATGAATCTAATTATAAACTGGCCCATTAATCTGGAACACGTCACCGTCATACGTGAAGGCACGGGACATGAGTGGACACGCACGAGGCGGCCAATCAGGAGCAAAGATCACCCACTCCTGGATTCTGGGAGATTTGTTATCCTTGTTCTTCTGATGATGGATCATCTTGAAACCGATTAAAGGTCACATCACACGCTGTGTCACGATCTATAAAAACTGTTTTTGAGACTGTGGTTTTTTCAGCACTGGACAGCTCCATTACAGTCTGTGGAAAAGGCTTTAAGAAGCCTACAGCTGCCCAGCTCTGACTTCCCTGAAGACAGTCTGGGCCGGAATAACCTACAACTACAGTCAGGGGAAGTTGAATTGCTTGAACTTTAACAATATCCACATGTCCATGTCTAAAGCATCATTGACCACTTTAACTCTACATCATGCTAATGCTAAAAGGTTCATGGATGTAGTGAAGGAGGACATGCAGAGGGCTGGTGTGGCTGAAGGGGGTAATAGGGACGGGGTGAGATGGAAGCAGATGATCTGTGGCAAGACTTAAAGAAAGAAGAAGATTTACAGGGTACAATTTAAAGTCCTCATACTATGAAAAAATATGACATTTAAGAATTTGAAATTATTACTAAGCTTTCTGCCAAACTAATAATTGGATTTATTGGATAAACTTGGATTGTGGCTGTGTGGTTGTGGTTAAAGGCAATTATCTCATAAACATATAAGATAATTACTTATATAATATAAGTAGGTACATTTTATTTATATAGGACATTTAAAACCAAAGTGCTTTATGGTTAAATAAATGGTTCAGTGCAGTAACAACTTATCTGCCAACCACAGTTCAGATCAGCTGTTTCCAAGACCTTGAAACACAAAAAGGCATGTATTTAGCTTGGGTTCAAAGACAGTCACAGTTGACGCATTTCTGAGGATCATTCCAGATTCTTGGTACAGCGACAGCAAAGGCACAACCCCCTTTTTTAAAGAAGCTTTGACTGAAGAATGGGACAGAGTGACTGGGAAGCAGGCCTTAATGATCTTGAGGGAGTGCGTGGATGAAGTGTATCTACCACATATGCAGGTGTGGAAACATTTAAGGCTATGAACACAAACAGTCTCCCTTTATACTGGATTGTGTAACGCAGAGCCAATACAAGGCTGCCAACACTGAAGTAATGTAATCTCTCTCTCTCTTTTTCTTTTGGATTTTGGACTATTGTAGACAAGCAAGAGCTGACTGATTAACTCCACAGTATGGTGCATTACAGCAGTTCAGTCTGGATGTAACAAAATCACATAGAACCATTTCCAGATCTCATTGTTTTAAGAAAGATTTTAGTCTGGAGATGGTTCTGAGCTCAAAGAACCAGCTTTTGATCGCAGTATTAATTCATCTGTCGAATTTCAAATTAGTGTGCAAGAGCATCCCAAAGTGGGAAAAACCTGTTTTTAATCTGTGCTTTAATAAAAGAACTTAAAGAGCCCAAGTTATCCTTCAGTTCATCAATTAATACTGGAAGGCCAAAAAATATGACCTCAGTTTTGGACCTGTATAACTCTAATAAACTGTGGGACATGCATTAATTTGTATATCCAAGATTCACTCATTGAGATGCTGCTGTGTACTTAATTATACTAACAGATTGTAAGTGGTCCCATTTTGTTCTGAGGGAAAATGCAGCATTTTTTTGTGTCCTACTCAGCACTAATTAGTTTCTGCGGATGCACTTTGCTAACCAAGCTTGCTAATATTAACTCATAACTTGGCACTTCAGCCTCTCATCCAGATATGTTTCATAACTCAGAAATGCTAAAACAAAGGCTTTAGAAGCCTTGGCTGCTGCTACTTTTAATCTTCTATATACAAATTATAGCTAATGTGCAAATAATTTAAGGTTCCTGGTTCTGAATCTACCGATTGGCTGGGGTCCTTTCTGTGTAGAGTTTGTATTTTCTCCTCGTGCCTGCATTGATACCCTCTGGGCACTCTGGCTTCCTCTCAAAGACCAAAGACATGCACGTGAGTCTTTGTCTGTATCTCTGGGTTAGGGCTAAAACAATTCAATTTCAGTTTCATTTATTTATATAGCTCCAAATGAAAAGAACAGGTGCCTCAAGAGACTGACTGAAAACTTGTCCTGTGATATGCCCCAGCACCTCTGTCACCCTAAATTGGATAAGCAGAAGAAAATTGATATTTTGCAAATATCAAAAGCAAACAAGCTTTAGCAAATGTATAATTATTTAAAAAAAATGTACAGCATTCAGTAATTTGCTATCATTTCACTTTACTTCCAGCTTTATGCATTTCTTCTCAGTCACATCTTTATACACCTATCTGCTTCCAGGAGGTCTTTACTAAGAAGCAGCTGCTGAAGTGTTAAACAGGGAGAGTGTAACCTGAAAAGGAGGAATTATAAAAACAACAACAACAACAAATGATTAAAAACCAGAAGGAATAAGAGTTAAAGTTGATCTCCACCAGAAGCTGTTTAAACTGTCCACAAGAGGGGGCAGAATTCAAGCGTCTACTATATATAGCTAAGTGAGAAGGAGGAATGAAGGAGCTTTCAAGGAGGAAAACTGTTTATCCATTTCTGTTTTTGTGGCAGTAAGAAGGAGACCGTGAGGGGTCCAGTTGCTTCCCCCTGAGCTTGGAGCTGGAAGTGAATCTCCTTTGATCCTGACTTTAGTCTTTCCATCTCTGAGTCAAGGCTGCACAGATCTCAAGTGCCACTTTATAATCAATGACTTTACCAAGTCGTACATTATAAAGTTCTCACATAACAATATGCAGAAAAGAGACGAAATTACATTTAAACAGCACAGATTAATCATTTGCCATTACAGTCACATCTTTTGCTAACAGTTAAACCCAGAAAAAGAACTCTTCTTTTGCCTGCAGCGAACAGACCCCTGCTGAGAGACGAAGCAAGGTGACGTTCAGCTCTTAACCTGGAGCTGTGGATTAAGGGTAAAATGGGCTAACACTGCACTGTGTGAAAATCATTGTTTGATCTTATTAAAGCAGGTGAAACTATGACACCATCAACAGCAATCATAAAACTTTCAGGGCCGTAGCCAGGATGTTTAGAAGACCTCGAGCTATCAGTCCAAATCCCAGAGTTTCTCCTCTTCTCCAAAACCAAAACGAAAGTGTTTAAAACTGCTTTTATTTCTTTCACAAATAGAATTATTCAATTAAGCATTTAATTGCTAGTTGTTTACAATGCAGCATGTAAAATAAAATACTAAGTAGTTATCTTGGAATCAATGAGGAACAGCTTAATCAAAAATTAACTTATAGAAGGCCTTTGTGCAGCCCTCTATATTTAAGCCATCTTTGACCTGATTGGCTGTCCTGTGAAAACAGAAGGTTTGGACAGACTGTGGGTGGGGCTTACTGCTCAAGATAATCAGCTCTCATCAGGGAAACTGAAGCCCAAGCTTGTGGCTCACAGGTATTGGTTATATCTGCACTAACCTCATTATCTGAAACTTGTGATCTTTATAATAATAACAATAATAATCTCTGACAAAATAACAGATCCACTTTAAAGACATCTTCTGTTAATGATTAAATGATAGATATCTGTAAATTTACATACTACTGTATGCTGCTTGCTCAGTCATTCATGATTACCTTTACACCACATGACAACATGATAACTAAGCATGCGCCATAAGTGCACCCAGTAGAGTTTTTTTCATTTAGGATGATGCTCAGCTTCAGCCTGCATCTGAAAAAGGAAGTCAGTGCAAAAATGTCCTAATTCACTATGCCAGCCAGCAGGGGGCATCTTCTCTGTTTTCACAAATAAATATACCATCGGAGAGGGGCACACTTGCTAACTTGCTTTAAAACATCAATAAACACGTTTCTGATTAGTTCATGGTCTGAGTCGATGGTTTCAAGTCTTATTTAACAGGACATGAGGTTCATTTTGTACATTTTAATCTAATTTAAGTTAAAAAAAAGCATAAATATTTCAGGTGTTTGTATCAACTCTGAAACTCTGAAAATGGAAACATCAAGAAAAGCTGGTTTGAGTATTTCAGAAACTGCTGATGTACTTGGATTTTCCCAAGCAACCATCCCTAGAGTTTACAGGGAATAACCTGAAAAAGTTGCAGTTCTCTGGGCCAAAAAAACATGTTGGCTACTGCAGAGGCCCAGATTTGCATTTGGCCAAAGCCATTTCCCACATATCATTTCCCGCTTTCCTGTCTGCTCTACTATCCTGCCAATGAACGTTAAAGGCAAAAAATAAAAAAACAAAAAAAGATAAATGCCTTGTTGCTGTCAGGGAGAATGCCCAGACTGCTTCAAGCTGACATCAATACAACAGAAGAGCATCTCCGAGAGCATCTCCACACGTCAAACCTTGAAGCAGACGGGTTACGGCAGCAGAAGACCACACTGTTTCCCACTCCTGTCATCATCTAAAACTGCTTTCTTGCTCATAAAAATGACTTCATTGTACTTTAAGGCCTCGACGGTTAAAAAATAAATAAATCTCAAACCAAAACGT